TTTTTTTAAATTATTAACTGAGATATAACATTAAAGGTCTCAGTTATAATTTGTTTGTAATTTGGAACGTGAAGTATTCCCGAATCTAGGAAAAAGGTGCACACAGAGCGTACTTATATATTATCGTTTAATATCATTGTAATTCGTGTATAATTTATGTATAATTGCAGTAGTTCCAATAGAACTGAATTATTTTTTTATTATTCATTATCAACGAAACTCGTGTTCGATAATACTATTTTTTTAATTCTAGGGCTGTCATTGACGTAGATATTAATACAAACATTGTTGCTTAGGTATATAAAAGAACATTCACGCGAATTTATAATTGATATAAGCTTAACAGTCAGAAAGGAATGGAATCTAAGTGGAAATTAGGCTTCCTCCTTCATTCCTTTACGTATTCCTTAATATCCCTTAAATATTACATGCCGTCTAAATATCCAGTGATTATCCTCTAAATGTTATGTTCTAATCTCTGTTTTTTTGTTGTATTTGGGTAACCTATATTTGAAAGATTTTATCTGAAATTTTGTTTGCATTTTATGGGTTTTTCCTAGACACAATATAAGATAATAGCTATTATAAGAACCTCATTAGTTTATCTAGTAAAAGAAGACAGTCTCATCACATTTGGATTAGATCCCTTAAGTTTATTTATTTACAAGCCACTCTTGTTTTATACTGACTCAAAGTTTCAATTATTGAATAAAATAATCGTCAAATTATTATAAAATTGAAATTATTCTTGAAGTAAAAATTCGAGGTGATAGCTAATATTTTGTGATACAAAATCCTATATTTGTCGTTTATTTATTTGATGTCAACTGCACTTGACGATGGGAGATTTAAAAAACAGAAAATCAGTATTATAGCTCCTGGGTTAAAGTATCACGTTAGAATTGTTATAATTTTGCTAAGTTCTTAAAACGGGGGTATTTTTTCAAGGCGCTGGTGTCAAGATGGAGCACTTTCAGGCCACCCTGGACCCAAGGAAGCAGGAGTTATTGGAGGCCCGCTTTCTCGGAGCAAGGGTGAGCTATCTTTTCCTCTATTCTTTTCTTCTTTTCACTCTTCTTTTTCCTCCTCAGCCTTCATTTTCCTCGTTTCCTCATTCTGTTAAGCTCATAACACACGAAACTTCCGTTTTATGGTTAGTGTACATGGTATGTTCAAGTTTGTCGATCATTAATCATTAATCACTAACATTGACAAAAATTCAGGTTTAGACTAATTTTATGGCTTACATCACGAGGTGTAGTTTTATTCTTATCATTTATCATTTCGTTAAGTATTTTTTGTTTTTTAACATCGATATTTTTGTATATTTCTACGAAAGATATCTTTTTACGAGAATTCCTATGAATTTTTTACTTTTCGATGAAGTCTAAGCTCTTTAAAGATGCTCTTTTTCGTTATAGATGTACTATAACTTAAAAGAGATCAGTTTCATTAAAAAGAGATTTACATTCACCTTTTTCTTGGAAATCTTAATGAGAAAACTGACTTAGATTAAGAACTGATATTATTTAGGTAATTAAACAGGATGCAAAGTGTATAAATATTCCTTAAGAAATCGTAAGAAGAGAAGAATAAGAAGCAATTATAAATTAATGAATGATACAAACTTTGACCATATTCTATCGCAATATTTAAACAGACTATCATGTTCTACTACTTTTGTAATATGCTATAGTTTTGATTTATGCTATAAAAATATGCAGCTAATTTCGGGTAGGATACAGCTCTGAGACAGTTTCAAACAGTCTAAGATTTGACGATATTTTAATCAATATTTGAATTGATTAATATATTCCTTGAATGTCATGTACGAACATTTTTGCGCGAGTATTCTGAGTATATCCGAGCCGGTGAAAAAGTATTGAATATCCTAATTTCGTAGGTTACTGAGGACACACTATAGCACTTGAAAACTCTACCCTCTTCTGCCCTTGAAGCTCTTCCAGTTCAGCTCTCGTACTACCCCGTGTCTATGGAAATATTATGGTTAGGTATGTAACTTGATTTTTTGAATTTTTTCTTTTCCGTATATTGTTTTACGGATTCAGACTTTGAGTTACCTCACGCGTAGTAACTCGAGAGGAAATCGTACATAACCGTTGAAGTTTTCATTTTCATTTGATGAGAGTACAAGAATTTTGAAACAAAGTCAAGCGTCTCTGTACAATACAGTTTGAACGTCTTTCCATAGTCAAAAAGCGCTGTTCCTTAACGATTCTAACAATAAGTAAATCTTTAAATAGTCTTTTATCTTGAGATCTGGATTATATATTTCTGGATTTCATTTTATTATTTCTCGCTTCATTTAAGATGCCCATTTGTATCTTGCCATGAGTATGGAACGATATTGCGATTCATTGCGTTACATATTGCGATAGGATATGATATTTTACAAATTGAGGGAGTAACCCACAACACTATAAAGGAATGAAATTCTAAGTCTATAAACAGGAAACAAGAGTTTTTCGATTAGTGCTACTAAAATTAGAATTGTTTATACTATTCATACTATTTACTAATACTTCCGGCGGATATTATATGTAGTTATAATGGTCAAATCTTGTAATAATGCCATCTGTTAGAAAGACTTGAGGATAGTTGACAGCGTAGTTCTTTAGTTGAAATCTAATGTCACTAAAAAATCATGAGATTCAGAAGACGAATTTGTACCACTCCGAATCATTCACAATCTTGTACTAATAGAGAAAAAGTAGATATTAAAAAAAATATTTTTCAATGAAGAAATATGGATAGCTTAGAAATAAGTAATCTATGAAAGAAAAATTTCTAATAACGCGGAAGAGAGTATTTAACTATCGGTAGAAATGAGAAGGAGCCTCGGGTTGGGCGGCACTGGTACGGAGCACCGATGCGCGTACGCAGAGGGCCAGGGTAAATCGTATTTACCCTAACCTTACCCGGTATACGTACATATACGCCACGGTATACGGGGAAACCGCGTGGCTCGTGGAGCACTGAGAGGTCTCAACAGAGGCAACACCGCGTGGCCGACCAGCTGATCGCTCGCAGGCATGCGACCACGCTCAGTGGGGGGAGGCCGCGCGCGACGACTCTGCTAATGAGCGTGCGACCTATTGGTGGGGGGGGTCACCAAAGATATAGTGGGGGATCCTTGGGTTAGGAAGTGAGAGGCACTCGTTGGCCGTGTTGCCGTCACACGTCATTCTACCGTCGTCGTCGCCGCATTGTATTTTCTTTTAAGTAGATTCGCAAAACTTCTTAGATACGTTATCTAATCATGGTATCTCCGTACTAAAGTCATTCCTACATAATCATCGTTATTTTGTTTCGTTTAAACTTTAATCAATCGTTATAATAAAAATCTTATAGTAGGGTAATAGGTAAAGGTCGAAGGTATGAATTTATTGCTATTTAACGAGAATTTTTGTTAAAAATATAGAAATAATTTATAGATTACAATTACAATGTCTTTTTTCACAAAGATTTTGTTGAGTTTTGCACAAAATTGTTTTAGCCAGAAAAATGTGACAGTACTTACCTCTGGTATACATAGAACTAATAAAGCCATGAAATAAGCGTAAAATTGTATGAAAGGATTATATTAAGAATTAATTGTGTAAACTATATTCAAATTTCTCTCCCTTCGCTTGTCGAATGACCCTCGAGGACAGGAGGTACATACAGGGTGCACACCCTTTCGTACGCCGTGGTGACACAGCTACGTTTCGAGCCACATTGATTTTACCGGCTCGCTTCCATCCACATCCACATTCACTCGTACTCTACTCAGTCGACCTGTACCCGTATCCGTTCACTCACTGAAGGAATGTCTCATATGCCTCCTCCCCTTGCTGGTTCCCTTTTTCCTCCCTCTCTCGCTCTATCCCTGTATCTAGCCTCTCCGTCGATTTTACCTATCTTTTTCCAACATATGTACTGTCGTTGTTCATCCCTCTTCTATACGACAGAACCTTCTCGCCAACTTCTGCTCTCGCCCTCTCTGCTTCCTCTTCTCGTAGCGATGGGTTCGTCCGGAAAAACACAAATTTTGTATGCAAGCCGAATCTTATTAATTGAACATTTTATATGAAGTACTATTCTTTCGATGACTTACTTGTAGTAGGTGCAAAGATTCTTAAAGGAGTCTAGATACATCATTTTCGGGAAATTATTAATATTGGTACTTATTTAAATAGTTTTTTACGGTATGACGAGTTACCAAAAATGAACTATTATGGATTTTCTTCGAACAGTTAATTTGATATGACAATGAGTCTAGTAGAGTTAAATCGGATAAAGTAGACAGATCCAAGATCGTTGTTTTTATTATTATAGTCAGAAATGAACTAAAAGCACTTCAGTAGGTTTTATTAGGGGATTAATTACAACTCTATCTTACCAATAACCAAGAATATGAAAATTAAATTCATTTTTTATTATCAAGAATGCTTTAAACCATATTGCGTGGTCGGTAGGTTTGGAACTTGTGGGATCTATCACGATTAAGATGAACATTGCATATGTACTATTTAGTTATAATATGTAATATGTGATGTCAAACTTGATTCCATCACTAGTCTCTCTCTCTCTCTCTCCCCCTCTCTCCGTGTTCTCTTTCCTCTCTTTGCCTGTTGTGATCGGAGGGCAGTAGCGCCGCCGCGGAGAGGCGGAGGTTGCACCTTTTGCCGCATCTCGGAATCTCGCGCGTTGCTCATTTGCCGCACAACAGGGAGGGATAGAGAAAGAAACACCGAGATAAAGAAAGAAAGAGAAACGTAGCTAGGCAGCGATAGTAGTAGTATGCGAACACGGTGGTCAGGCGACGGTTTCCAGTTCCGTTTCGATTAAAGGGGTGTTTTCGGCTCTTTACCCTTCTAAAGCATTTTTGACTCGCGATGCCGCTTTTTATCATTTATCACAGCAGTCGGTGCTGTTATTCCTGTTGTACTCGTGAATGTTTACCCGGTTTAATCCCCCGCTTAAGTGAGGAAAGCGAGTGAGGAAGAAGACACCGATTGTGAGTGAGAATCGACCTGGTCGGTGCCGCTTTCCTCTCTGTCTCTCTCTCTTGATCTCTCTCTTGAAGAGGAGAGGAGAGGAGAGGAAAGGATATTTCTCGCTCGATACGACTCGAGACTGACTCGATTATGGTCGCAGGAGAACCGTGAAAATCCGCATGTCCCGATTCACTAGGTTCGTAAACGCTTTTTCCCACTCTCCGTGTTGGTAGCTCTCTCTCTTTCTCTCTCTCTCTCTCTCTCTCTCTCTCTGCCGTACTTATTTTCTCTCTTGGCCACGCATACACGCCCACGCAAGCGCACGCAGACTTAAAGGCGAATCCCCGAGTCTGGTGCACCGGTGTTCTCTGATTCTGTCCATTCGGACTTCGAGGACGTTTTAGGGAAAGCGACATACCCAGTTGCTTTAAATTTCCGATATAACACTAATAGGAAATTTGTACGAAATCCAATGTTCTAAGAC